TCAGGAAAAGGCTGCCTGTGTTCTGCATTATTTGTCATAGTAATAAATGTTTCCCATATTAAGGTTGAATAGCCTCAATGGGACACACCTGTGTCCCTCTTACTAGCTGTGATCTGTGCTAATTAAGTGAGTGATGTGCCATTGAAAGACAATGGAAAAGAATGAAATGAAGATGGATGAATTCAAATGCACCTGTCCAGCAAGGTGAGAACAGTGTTGTTTCACATTCTTTTAATTCTTGGAAGTCTCAGATGTTCTGATTCTGAATTTTCCCATTTGATAGCAAGATTGCTTTTTTGTTCATGCTTCAGCCTCTTTTACCCATATCCATTTCTACATGGAAGATCGAAACCTTGTTTCTGGAGCAGAGGGAGTTAAAAGAGTCAACAGCCTTATGAAGTGACACTGCAGCTGTTTCTTAAGTAGCAATGGATCTTAATGAAAGGCTGCTCATAAAATTATTATCGCAGCAGCAAGTAGAGGTCCCAACTGATATTAGGCCCCTATTGTGCCAGGCACTGTATGAACACATTAGGAGAGAATAACTTCTCTGTGAGGAATTTAAAACCTCATTAGATAAGACAGAAAGAAGCTGTGCCAGGAATAAGTGTCCCCATGGAGTAAAGAAAAAGGCCCTGGTCACAAGGAAAACACAGGGTAGAGCCTAGAATAAGATGCCGAGTTCTTGCCACCTGGGCTCGCTGGTAGCCCTAGAGGAGAAAGTCGTTCATATCTAGCCGCTCAGGACCAGTTTATTCCTATTGCTTGAGGCCAAGATTTGAGACTCTTTTTTTTTCCCCCAAACACAAATTCCAGTCCTACATGGGGAAAGCCCTGGGCCTGACCTAGGGCAGCTCATCACCATGCACTGGGATGCAATACGGAGGCAGCATGCCCAGATTGTGTAGAGCTGGGCTGTGCATCCAGCAGGAGGTCAGCACCACGTTTAAAGCAGCCGTGCCCATGTTATTTGGCTGTCACACCCCCTCTCCTGAGCCCTGCCTTCTTCTAAGCCAGTGTCAAAGCTTCTTTGGACATGAATTTGGAAGGGGCTGAACTCCCAAGATAGTACTTTTCTTGGACTCTGTTGGCAGCATTGACAATTAGGCAACTGATGCATTAACATGCCAGAGAGGCTCTGATGTTTATTCATGTGCTGCTCTTGAGGGTTTATTGAATTGATGCCTGGTAAAGCAACTAATGGGAGCCCTTGGCAGGGTACCTTAGATGGATTTCCTTATTATGTCTAGATTTTATACTCTCTAGCAAAATCAATATTCAAGCTGGTGCACAATGCAGCTTCTTTTAGCTTCAGGGTTTAAAGATTTATGGGGCATCAGGGAAAATCAATGAAGGAAAAAGACAATGACAGAAGAAGTAAAATCCAAGTGACAGAAATTGCTACTGAACTAGGTGGGCAAAAGCACCTAGAATGCAAAACAATTCAAAAGCAGTAGTTTTTAAATTTTCTATCTTTGTTAGGGAACGATTTTTTAATTGACTTCCCCT